GATTTTTTATTTGGAATTCCCTGTATATTTTACGAACATGGTTTATGAAAAAAACCTAAAAAATATAGCACACTTCATATTTTGTTATAGTCCCCTTTGAAATACAGAATTTTTATAACTTTTAACTAGTAGGCTTTGGATCCCTTATTGATGAAAGCATATTTTTCCAGCAAGGCGAGGCACCACCACAGAACCACAAACAGAACGCTGAAGTTATCAGCAAATTTTTGCAACCAATTTCGAGAATAATTGAATAGCTAACCAAGATTCCAGCCGTTGGCCGTCGAGGCCGCCGGACTTGGTGCCTATAGATTTTTATTTTTGCGGAAGAATAGAGGTTCTTATTTTTAAATTGCCCATATAATATAGACAATAATAAATTAGAAACATAGAAACGTGTGTAGTTCTTCAAAGTATTAATCTATAGTTGATACACTGAATATAAAACTGAATAAACTGGGCAGACTTAAAATCGAAAAATCTAATTTAATTTTACTATTTCCTTTACGATTTTATAACATACACTAATTGGATTTATTTTCAATAAAGTCACCATTCCCGTACGGTAAACACGATCTCATGTGTAGGTATTTAAAATTTAACAGTTTCCTGTAATTACTTCGATCTCAAAAAACACTAAATATTTCGATGCCTAGAGAGAAAAAACACCCAACAAACATGACGTAATTTGAAAATAAAATCCAAATCAGCTTTTCTTTCTTGTATATTATGGATGCCGTTGAATATGTAGAAAGCCATACCAGACACCGTTATAGCTAGGCGATTTAAATTCTGACAAAAAACGAAATTCTTACGCTGTGGTTGTAGTATCGCTAAGTAGCTATACGTATGTACGGGATATCCTTTTATTTGTACCGATTTATAGTAGTTATTTCGACGAGGATTTTCCAGAGAAATAAGAAAACTGAGATGAGGGAGATTCCAAAATATATACCGGGTGCGGGTCAAAAGTGACTCATCCCTATAACTTTTTTACTTTTTCAGTTAAAAAAACGAGATTTGGTATATATTAATATTACATAAATTAGGATTTTCTGTTTACTGACGTATTCAATTGTTTTTGGCCACTTCCTGTTTCACCGGAAATGACTAAAACTTTGAACTGATTTTTAAATGGTACCCTCGGTATTTTTTTACTTTATTCGATAGAAAATGATCATCAAATCATATGTCGACTTTTGATATTTATGCATATGCTTTATTTTAAATTATAACATGCGGTTCATAACGATTATTTGACACGAATACCAAGTGTGTGGTATCAAATTACTGGTAAAAAATGCTTTTTCCAAATATTCTAATGAGCCACCCTCGTTCCAGTTGGAAAAATTGAGATATGATTAAAAAGACGATTTGGGCATGTTTTAGCCGGTCAGGACAAGACACTAAAGACATTAGACTATCAAGTCTATTTTTCCAAGGCTCCTTGATTAAAAATTAGTGTTTTTAACATAGCCATGGCACTCTAGATTGAAATTTAAAATACGATTTTTTATGATGAATGTTGTATGATCTCTTTATAATAAACTATATGATGATCTTTATCGAATAAAGTAAGATATTAATTGATAATCTCTATCGAATAAAGTAAAAAAATACCGTGGGTGCCATTTAAAAATCAAAAGTTGTAGGCATTTCCGGTGAAACAGGAAGTGACCAAAAACAATTGAATACGTCAATCAATCCTAATTTATGTCATATACTAACATACCAAATCTCGTTTTTTTTATCTAAAAAAATAAAAACGTATAGGGGTGAGTCACTTTTAAGACGTACCCGGTATACTGAGTGACAAAAAACATCTATATTTGGTTTGAAGAACATGTATGACTAATTGGTAAATGTACGATGTATCGCCTCTTGTTACTGAACATCGGTGTAACCGCCTTGAATATGTAGAGGAGACTTCAGTGGACTCAGGAATGGGAATCATGAGATTTTCCCGTGAATCCCACTTCTGTTTGGTGATGCACGATGGACAGTCAAGGGCAAGGGTAAGAAGACGAAGTGGTGAAAGACGCAATTAACAGTTTGACAGAGAACGTCAGTCCATTACACTGTCAGCGATATGTTTTGGAGTACCGTTGCACATGGTAGCTGATCACCACTATTAGAGACAAAATAACATCCATGAAGTGGTACAGCCACATGCGATCAAATAGCGTCTGATAACTAATCTACTCAGGTACCCTACAGTATTGCCGTTTGTTGTCTACAACCTTAATTTCATGTTGTCTACAAGGTTGTCTACAACCTTAATTTCATTTCAACCTTAATTTCATGATTTTCAATTGTTAGCTAAGCTTACTAAAGACGTTTATTTTTACGGTTTATTTGAAAGATTGTTATTTTTTGATTGTTATTTGTGTCTAGCCGGCCTTTATAACCCGCAGTTCCGCATGTATATTTGTCTTCGGTGGAACGGCAGAACAAAGTAATGCTTAGCTATAGTCTGGTTACTAAAGCAGCATGTGGCTCCGTGGGTGAGGCGACCGCTTAGGGATCTAGGAGTTCGAGGTTCGAATTCCACAAATATAGAATCTTTTTTATTTCTTTACAGCAGTTTCAATTTTTTTTAATTTATTTTGCAGCTGCCGGTAACAGCAATACGCCCTAGGCATGTTTTGATTGCGTTGCTTAATCTCTGGGGTACATTTTATTGTTTAGATTGCACTCGAAATACCCGACCGATTATCGTTTCCGCGTATGCGGAACTGCGGGATGTACACTTGCACGGTCCGGCTAGACGCTAATCGTTCTAACAAAATAAATCAAATAACAATACAGCTTTGAAATAAACCGCAAAAATAAGCGTCTTTAGCTTACAATTGAATGTCATGAAATTAAGGGACAACAAACGGCAACATTGTTGGGTGCCTGTGTTGACTAGTGGAACGTAGACGTTAGTCATGCGATCACATACTTTTATACCATCCAAGACCCCATTTTCCAGCAAGACAATGCCAGAACAAATGTTGCTCGAGCATCAATAGCCTTTATGAATCAGCACCACCTTAACTGTTTACCATGGCCATCAAGACGACTCGATCTATCTCCCATTGAACATGTTTGGGACATGATGGGTCCAAGATAGAACACCCTCCGTAGTCTTATGCATGAAGTTGAAGAATGTTGGAAGGGGATACCCAAATAACGATATTTCTATATTTACTTATTTCTCTGAAGAGGATTATAACAGTATCGAACTTGGTACGCTCGAAAAAGAAATTGAAGGATGATATAAAAAATTGTTTGGAGATGACCGACTATGAAAGTAAAGTTCAATAACACTCGATGATACAGAGTCGATTGGTTTTTATGCTGATTGATTTGTAAGAATCATTTCAAAACAAGAAACAAGAAGTATATTTTTTTTGAGACGGAATTGGTATTTTTTGGAAAATTTTGTTTTCCTATTACTTTTACCACTCTTTTTTATATGTTATATACTGACATAAAATAAATCATACAGTTAAAGGCCGAACACTGTCAAACAAATCCATAAATTGATCAAAAGTAATAGAAAGTTTAAATAAAAGTAGGTACTTGCTTAATTTGTTATATTTTTTGTAATCAAATGATATTTTTGTATCACAAAATTTTTCCACCAAGAGTGCAATCAATAATGTTTTTTAATCTTTAGAAAGAGAATACATACTGGCAGGTACTTTCATTTTGTGAATGTATGCGTTAAGAAAGCCGTGAACGTGTACGTCTATCACTTTTGACATCTGGCCTGTCAAGCCAACCGAATGTGTATGTTTTAAAGCAGGCGAAGGCAAGGAATTTTATTGCACAACGCCGAAACCATCTTGCTCATAAATATGATGACCTTATGGCCATAGCTCAGGTGTAATACTATCTCCGATACGGCGAAGAGATAAATAAATATCTGGGCTCCTTACGAATAGTGACTTTTACTTATTAATTACAAGAGATTAATTATTTTCGTTGTCTAATTTAGATTTGAATTATTGAGAATTATTACAAATTAGCTAGCACTTTGATGGTGGCTATACCAGCTGCGTCTCAAAAGTGGCTTACCTCTATAACTTTTTTAATTTCCCAGAAAAAAACCCTGAGCTTTGGTAGGTTAGTGTATGAAATAAATTAGGATTGATTGATGTATTCAATTGTTTCCGGTCATTTCCTGTTTTATCGGAAATGACGACAACTTTTGATTTTTGAATAGCACCCTCGGTATTTTGTTACTTTATTCGATAGAAAATGACACTATGGGTTATTTGAAATTGCAAAACGCTATTCATAAAGACAATTTGACTCGAAATACCAAGTGTGTGGTATCAAATTATTCGTAAAAAAATGCTTAAATTTAAAACAGAATTTTGTATTAAGCGAAAATGTCAAAAGTTGACATATGATATGTCATTCTATTCAGAGTATCATTTTCTATCGAATAAACTAAAAAAATATAGAGGGTGCCATTTAAAAATCAAAAGTTTGTAATCATTTTCGGTGAAACAGGAGGTGGTCGAAAATAATTGAATACGTCAATGAATCCTAATTTATGTTGTATACTAACGTACCAAATCTCGTTTTTTATCTGAAAAAATAAAAAAGTTATAGGGGTGAGCCACTTTTGAGACCCACCCGGTATATAAAGTCCTGCAACAGTGATGCGTCAGGCATCTACGGTTGGCTATTCTGATTTTCCGCGTTACGTTGGCAATCATTTTAAGAAATTCGTATATTTATTGTTGTTACCATTAGGTGTTTAGTAGATTTGGTCTGTACTTATTTTATTATAATTGTAGCAATCTTAAATTCTATAGGATGTTCAAAATTGAATGCCAAACTAAAATAATAAAAAAGTCTTGTCTTTTTAAATGGAAAACACTGTATATTATTTCTTTTTGGTAACATACATAACAGATTTGATAAAAATTTACTGTTGAAAGAGTCATATCTAAATATGTTGTTATAACTGAAGTGAAAAGTAATTTATCCTTTTGTTACAGAAGATGAAGACTGGAGCGGCGATCCTGCAGATTCATCAATTTATTTGATGCAGGACACTCAACATATGACTTTACCAAGACCTTTCAGGAATCAGGAAAGCTTCAGAGAAAGTTCTAGAGAAAATATCAGCAGGGAAAAATCTCCAGAAATAGATCAACGCTACTCGAGGTATAACGAATTTCTTTTTTTGTTTTACCAAATTTCGTTATTTTTTTACCCATACATGTATTCCATATTAATTTAATTCATTATTATATCATTTCCTTTTCCGTCAATTTTTCTTCTTTTCATTATTCTTTTTTTTCAATTTTTGATGGCATATACACTGTATCTAGATCTAGTAGATCTAATCTAGTATCTAGATTTTATGGGAGGAAGGAAGTTAATATATTATGTCCCTCTTTTCATTGAGTTATAAGTTATTATACAGTCTTAGGGCTTTGACAAAAGCCTGCATCTGAGACGGTTTTTACAGAGGTTGATCTCCATCTTCGATATCAGTCGTACCAAAGTTTATGGCCCGAATGGTTTTCGTCTCGGTGATGAGGTATTCTAGTGTTTTTTTCCCACAGAATCTGAGGTGTCCATAGTTGAGACAGTGTCTTATTAAAAACCCCTCGACAATCCGAAGATTGTTCTTACTTAAGTGAAGGAAAATCTTTGATTTTGGTCGTAAGTTCTGACGAACTTTTCCCGATTACCAGACCAAACTCCCATTCCCGGTTACGGATGGAATCTTCTCTCAACCTGGAAGAACTGAAGAACCTCCTGAGTTCTGCTTTAAGTTGGTTTCTACTTGAGAAGCAGAACAGTTCTGATCCACTTAGTGGAGTTCTCTCCTTTATAGCTAGATCGTTTGCTTCTTTATTACCTTTTATCCCTTTGCGGGCTGGCTCCCAGAGTAGGATTCATTTTCTTTGCCTAATTGCTAAGGGCATAGTCTTATTCAAAACTCAAAAAACTTCTATAAAAATGAAATAATATACTAAAATATAAATGGTTTTTACAGGTATACCCATGACGAGCTCAAATTCTCCAAATCTTTAGACGAAGACTACAGAAAATCGAATAATAAAATAAAATATTTAGAGAAACCAATTTCAAAGTTTAGTGATAACAAGTATTTACTTAAACAGAAATCTTCAGTTAGGGAACGTGAAGTCAAAGACGATTATAGAGAAAATGAACGGGAAATTGCCAAAGAAAATTTCCGGAAATCGTTAGAAAAGGAACTGTTAAATAGGAATGGAAATAAGTACTTGGAAAAGTCTATTATTTCTTCAGAGAGATATTTTGGAGAAGAGGAGAAGAAAGATACGTACTATTACAATGAGAGAGAAAGAAACGGGAGATATAGTGAAGATAGAAAGAAGAGTGAGAAAGAGAAATATTTCGAAGATGATGGGTTTGATGAAAATATTAGGTAATATATTATATTATTTAATTTATATATTGCTGCAAAATAAAACATTTATTCGCTACAATACACCAAAAACATTTTACTTTTGCACTGGACGCGCATTTCGATAACCATGTTAGCAACATCAGCAGATGATTAAAACTAAGTTTCTACTAAAAAACTTTTAGTTTTCTAACTTTCAGTTTAAACTATCTGCCGATGATGCTAACATAGTCAAATGCTCGTCCAGTGCAAAAGCAAAATGTTTTGGTATATTAAGGTGAATTAGTGTTAATTATTTTTGGTAGACATAAACTTAACAGAAGAATATAAAAAAAAAGAACAAAATAAAAAATTAATATAATTCATAGTGGTTTCGGTTAGAATTTATGCCGATGACTTATACTCGTGATTGTGATTTATTTGTATTCTAAATTATAAAAGCCCTAAATGTATTTATATTTGAATTTTAAAACGTTTTGTTAACGAAAATGATGTTCTACGTTTGTGATTCTGAAGAAGACCGAATTAAAATTGGTCGAAACGTCAATCATTAAACTAAATGTAAACGTAAGTTTCGTTTTATCAACTACTGACTTAAAACCAAGAATTTAAAAACTTAAAAAATATTTATATATAGGTATAAAAACAGAAGGAAAAAATTAATCGACAAGCCCTCAACAAACTCGTAATTGTATACACAAATGTACACTGTTGTAGACATTCACACTCACACACAACAACCACACCTACATCAGTGTGCACTAGTGTAACTGCCTTCCAGCATCATCAGTACGGTAAGGAATCAGCAAGTGATGACAACGATCCCAAAAAATATAAACCAGGAAGCAAATGATGCACGAGGTACCGTCTGTAACCTAGTAGATGAAAAAAAGCAGATGATGAAAACAAAAGGAGCAAACGGGAGCCTAAGACCCCATTTTGCAGCCTAGAACTAAAGTCTGGGGTCTTAGGCTCCCGTTTGCTCCTTTTATTTTCATCATCTGCTTTTTTTTCCATCTACTAGGTTACAGACGGTACCTCGTGCATCATTTGCTTCCTGGTTTATATTTTTTGGGATCGTTGTCATCGCTTGCTGATTCTTTACCGTACTGATGATGCTGGCAGGCAGTTACACTAGTGTACACTGATGTAGGTGTGGTTGTTGTGTGTGAGTGTGAATGTCTACAACAGTGTACATTGGTGTATACGGTTGCGAGTTTGTTGAGGACTTGCCGATTAATTTTTTCCTTCTGTTTTTATATATTCCCCTCACTATTTCAATTTTTATTTTATATAGTTATATAGATATTAATATATTTTTTTATTTATTAGATCTAGAAATAACTCGTCTGATTTTGACAAAGAACGTCCAACTCGTACCTTCTCCTACGAAGAAGAGGTATTTTTCGAGGACCAAAAGCCATACAAGGAATACCCAGTGCCGAAAACCAGGCAAAAGTTCCTCGATAAGGAAGATTCCGGGAAATCTTATAGAGATAACAAAGAAAGCAGAGAAATTCGAGCTAAAGTAAATTCAAACGATTCGAGATATTACGAATCAAAATCCCTTCAACGGTAAGATAGTACCTAATATTAAAGTGTTTTGATCATATACCGGGTATTTTTTAAAAGTGGCTCACCCCTATACCATCCTTGACTCGAAATTGTGGTATGTGGTAACAAATTATTAGTTAATTTTTTTTTTCCAAACATGCTAATGAGCCACTATCGGTCCATTTGAAAAAAATAATTATATTAACTCGAAATTGTACAGTCTTCAAGTTATTAGACATTTTGAACATACTAAAACTGGAAACTGTAATCTAGAGATCAAAAGATTGAGGGCAACAATATATCATAAATGGTCGCAGTTGAACAGGCTGATAGCCATTTCAAAAGTTTAAGACTTTTGATGCAAAGCGAGAATTATAATTATAGTCTGTGAAACGAATAACTTTGAATTTGACAATTCCCGCGGGCTTTTCTAGTGTTAATTTTAATAGGTCAGCAACTTGCGGCCATGCTGACGTAACGTTAGCAACAGTTCAAAAACAATGTACACAAACACCACAAACTTAATCCAAGAGAACACTGTAAACGCTCAAAATCAAGAAAATAGAATTAGTTAGGTCCATAAATTGGGGAAAACGTAAGTAAAACACCAGAAACACTAAGAAAAGCACTATTTTCACGGAAAATAACTGCAAAATGCGGCAATTAACCTTTAATACGTGTCATATTTAGAAATGTCAAAAGCTGATGACATTTTACTTTTGACAAGAATTATGACATTTCGTGTTGATTTTTGCAAAAAGAGGGAAGAACTGTCACTTGTTTTATTATTTTCCTTTACTATTTCACGAAAGTAAAAAGAGTGACCTATCTGATTCGTTCAGGCAGTCAATTTAAAGAAAATCAGTAACTTTTTTGACAGAGGGATTTTATATTTGCCATGTTGGTAAAAAATAACGGTCAAAATTCAAAGTTATTCATTTTATTGACTATAACTATAGTTCACATATAAACTTGTAGTCACGTGATTAAGCTTGAGCGGCACAGCGCTGCCCAACTTTACATATTTTCTTTTAATCAAAATATTTTAGGAAACAAAAAATAAATTAATTATAAATATATAAACAGTTACTATTTACATCAACAAAACTCACCTTTCCACTTAAGAAACATAAAGGGCCATTGCTACAACTTTCCCGTTCAAAACCTGTTCAAAATATTCTAATAAAGTTGAGTTGATGAGTTTTTTACGGCTATTAAGCTATCTTGTACACTTCTCACTAAAAGAGGTTCTAAAAAGAACAATGTTCGACTGCAAGCTCTGCTAGTATTCATTTTTTAGCTTAAAGTATCTCACCCAAAAATTCGTAATTAAACCAAAAACTCATAATACAAAACTAAAGTGTCAAAACGAATGACAACGTCAGCAAATAAATAAATAAATGTGGCAACTTGATATTTTTTACAGCAGCGCTGCCACCTGAATCCCTAGCGGGAAATTTAAATTCCAGTTGGTGAGCCCTGCGCCGAATATGTCCATGGTTGGCAACAATGAATTTAAAATTTGCGCCCTCGATTACGTAACTAAAACTTTAATTGGTGTCAAATATACTTTGAAATTTTAATAACAACAATATATTTGCTTTATACCGTGCTGGCAACTTTTACTTTTAGGTCGGTATTTACATGTGTGGAAGTAAATCGCATAGGGATCTTATTAAGTCGGAGTGAAAGAAATAATAACGGGGTGCTGTTGCGGCGTTGCCACATTTCTCCGGTACGCCTTTCTCTATCAAGTAAAATAAAATCACGATCGCAAACAGCTTATTTTAAAAAGACTTTTATTTTCGAAAAGATAACTATAGTCTGTCCAACGACAAAATCCTTGACAGTGATAGAGGTGTCTGTCATTTTCATTTCAAAGCAGTTTTTTTTTATTTTACAAAGAAATAAGTTGGTACAATTGGAACGTATAATTAATATATTTAAATTTTGAGTGACAAGTGATTACTTCAAAATATTGTGAAAAAAAATGTATAAAACTGAAAAAATGTAATCTTGGTTAATTAACTTTAATCTTAATTTTTCTGCAGTACTAAAATGTATTATTTACCTATCGTGTGATGGTATTTTACAGATACTCCAGTTTTTGGTACCATATACGAGATAGTATACAACTTTATTTGTGGCTAATACAACTCTCTGGCCATAGTCTCTGGCAAACTGTGTTTCTGGCGGTCTTTGGGCACCGAATATTAACTGTAAACTATGGTCTGGGTCAACACTTAATTTTCCCTCGAGTTTTCCTCCACTTAATTAAAAAAAAAGAAACACAAGTAACAACACTGTCCAAAATGCAAAATATTTATCATTTCTATTTGACATAATTTGACACAAAATTATAACCTATAATTTGGCAAGAGTTAAACAGTTCTAATAGCGCGATCAGGTCGCAGTGTTTCCGGCAGAGGACGGCCACTTGCTATGGAAAAAAAAATAGCGCGACCACTGTCGAAAACCAACTGAATTACACTTATTTTTGCCAAAAGTGCATGAGTTTCTAACTTGCACTTAAAAATTTATAAGCTATAGGCAAAATTACAATGACTCGTAATAAATAAGCAAATAAAGTATCACGAGACTTAATTAAATCGTGAAGCTGAACGCATGATGTACACTCTTCCCTAGAATTTTAAGTGCTGATATGGTACTGATTGGGTCGACCGGGCGACTGCGACGAATCTGCTTATCCCCTTCCAAGTTTCTTGGCAATGTGCACAGTTTCTCGGTTTATTTTATACGTTTGGCAACGTTTTTACTGCTCTCTCTTTGTTCAGTACATTATAAACGCATTGTACTCTTCTTACATACGGAAATCTCGACCCAAGACTAACCTTTGCCAGCCCTTAATACAATTTTCTTATTTTTTTAGTAACAGAGACTACGAACGAGACTATAACAATGACAGCAAACAAGGATATCGCTACGAAGCAAAACCAGAATACTTCGAAAATTCGACGAATTCAATAAACCGAAGACAACCTCAATTTCGACAAAGATCTCCTCCAGATGAAGAAATCAAGGTATGTTGCTTACTCTTTTATTGTTCGTGTTTTATCTTCTGAATGTAGGTTCCATTGCAGGCACCCAAAGACCGGTTCATGGATGCCAAGGAGAAGTTTTTGCTCATGGAAAAGGAAAGGCTGGAACAAGAACGCAGACGTCCCGAACCGCCAATTTCACCAACCATCCAGAAGGATAAGATTCATTTTATTAAGAGGCATCAGAGCATGGCTTATACGTCCAAAGATCATCTTAGGAACAATTACGAAGATAGGTAATGACATTAATTTAAATTAGCGATAAATAATGTATGATCATATAAAAATAACGTCATGGTAGGCATACAAAGTATATTTCAGATCTAGCTTTACTATATACCTGGAAACTTTCTACTATTTCTACTAAGTATACTTTTTTAACTTTTATCAAAAATATTGTGATTTAATTACTAGCTTGTAAACAAAATTTATTTTGAATAAACTGTAAAATTTATCTATTTTTATGGCTTATTTTCTTTGATCTATGACTATATCTGTCGCTGAAGTTCTTGACAAAAGACAGACGGACATCAAAATACAAAACTATCACAGAACTATGATTAGTTTTGATATGATAAAAGTCTGTCTAATGAGTAAGGAAAGACTTCTACAAACGACTTCTAAAAAAAATAGAGAAAATACAGTTTCATCTGTGAGAATCGTGTATTTCGGTAGAAGTATCACTGACTGAATGCTATTTCTACACCAACCATGATACACTTTTTATTCGATTCAATACATGCTCTAATAATATTCTTTATGTTTTAGATTTTCGAACGAAAGACGAGATTTTTCTGAGGATATTTCTCCAAAACCTGCACCAAGACAAGTGTCTGAAGAGGTGCGCTACAGGAACCACAGAGATAAAGATGTGGATCGGTAGGTTTTTATTAATTGATATTGATCAATATTTACTAAATATGTAGTAGATATAACAATAAACATGTATACATAATCAATATACCTAATATAAATATAAATGAATTTGTAAATGGATTTAGCATAATATAAAAATAGCCTTAAAATAAAAAATTCGTAGATTAAGTTAAGTTAATACTCGTTAAAACATTTACATTTTTTTATAAGTACAAACAGAAAAGCAGGGTTGGAAAAAATCATGATTTTTAAAAAAAAATGAAAAAAATCAGATTTTTTTTATTTAAATCAGATTTTTTTGATTTAAATCAGATTTTTTTGATTTTTATTCAAAACAATATTTAAATCGGATTTGCAAATAACTAGGACATATTTCCAATTAAAGTCCTATCCTAAATGGCTAAATCTATCTAGATTAACATTAACAATTCTAGGGGGCGTGTGATTTTTCCACATATATTCCAACAATATATTCCACAAAGAAAAGTCGTTCGCTTCAGATCAAAAGGATATTTTTCAAACGTCTCAAAAGTATTAATTTTTTGTCATTTTAACGCCTAGGCATAAAAGTAAAGCACTGTTACGCATAAGCACAAAAGTGCAAAAATATATTATTAAACTGATATTAAGTGTCGAATTCAACGAGTGTACAAATTGTTGTTCGATTACTGTTAATATTATTTGCAATGTTTGAAATTGATTAAAAAATTATTTGTAATGTTTAAAAAAATAGTATGTTCTATTCGGAATAAAAATGTATTTTTTGTGCCTCCCTGTAACGTTGGAATAGCTTTACGATGGTCCTTCAAAGGTACAGCATCGTCAAAAAAAGTATAATTTTTGCTCCTAATAAAACAATATACTATTGTTCGGAAAGAGTCTTAAGTCGAGAATGAAATTAGTATGCATTATCTAATATCAAAGTGAGTACTTACTCCAGATCAAAATGTTGGTAGGAATTTGGAAAGATACAACCGTTTCAAAAAAAAATAAAACAACATATTTTCTGACAACAATTATAGATTATCGGGAATAAAGATATAATCTCTATATTAGAAGAACCTAGTTCTGCACTAGACTTTGCGAATGATATGTATTTGAACAGCGAATTTTTGTCACTTATACAGAAATTTTAAAATAAATCCTTGTGTTTAGCGGACTAATGGATTCACACGAAATTAGTTCAAAAATCGGTCCAACAATTAAATTAATGAATAGATATTTTTATATAGTTTTATAACATTTACAATTATTTTTCGATTTATTATCTGCTACATCTGATATAGAAAATGTTTATAGTTTTCTAGGAGACATTTCAGAGACAAGTTTTACAGTTATTTTTTGATTTATTATAAAGTTTCAAAAAAATTATTTTTTTTGATTTAAATCACATGATTAAAATTAAAAAAAATCACTTGATTCAAATCACGATTTAAATCATGATTTAAATCATGCCAACCCTGCAGAAAAGTGATGAAAATTAGAAATAAACATACTTAGTTTTTCATATTTAAATTATTTTGTAAATTAAAATTATTAAATTAAAATTAAATTAGATGCATAATTCAATAATATACGAGACACCATTTATTAATGTTTTGGACCATCATCCAGTTTTGTTTTCTAAAACATAAATAGAAAAAAACTACACATTTTTCAAATATACTGTATCCCTTCTGTTGAAATTATACATATTTTAAAATATTTTTTATTCTATTATGAGGCACTTATTACTATAGTTCAAATACAAAACTAAAGTGTCAAAACGAATGATAATATCAGGAAATAAATAAATACATGTGGCAACTTGACGTTTGATTACGTAACTAAAAGTTTAATTGATATCAAATATATTTAATTATTATCTACCTTTTAACTCTATTTTATAGTTTGAGTAACATTTGAATTCGTTAATTCTTTAATAGTAAAGCGTTATTATTAAGTGTCCTCCATATTTAAAAAAATGTAACTTAAAGTATACATTCAAATTTTAAAATATATGAGTTTTTATAAACTTATTCTGGTCACAAACCAAATAAAACTATAGTTAGTAAATAACAAAAACTGTTTGTTTTTAGATACAGAAATACAGATAAGTATGATCCAAAGCGAAGGTCTATGTTTTCTTTGATCGAAGAAGAACATAAGAAGAATTCCAACGAGATAGCGAAAGAACTAAAAAGGCGATCATACATGGACGTCGGCCATCACGCTTTAGAAGATCAGAAAGAAAGCTTCAGAAGATCAGAAGAACGAGAAGTCAGAAGCAGCAGGCATTATCAGGATCTTCCAGAAGCAGAGCGGTAATATAACGTTATATACAACCACAGATGTTAACATTACTAAAAATTCAGTAATTGTTATATTTTGTGTTAGGTTAAGTGTTATATTGCCTACCTTTACTTCCTCTCTTAACTACTTTAACTCGATCGTCTGTCTCATTCACTATCACATAAGATTTCATATTTTTCTCTAAAAATACTAAAATATAACTCTAAAAATAAATTAGTTATACAATTTAATATTTGTTCTTTTTTATAGATACGGCTCATCTTTAGTTGATAATTTCTCCAAATCGACACACAACCTAGACAAAATGTCCGATAGCAAGTACGACCAGAAATTCATAAAGAATCCTCAGAAAATGATGAAATCTGTCCCTGGATACAGACACAGCTATGCAGAGCCCAAAATCAGAATAGAACCACGAAAGAAGAATGTTTCTGATATGCTGCATAGAACTAATAGTAGCGTAGGGTATATGCAACCTAGGGTAGGCATTGCTAGTATCCACCCATATTAGATTATCTGCCAACTGAAATGCAGCGAGACGTTATTATTTTAAAAACATTTTATAAAGAGTGACAGAAAATAATAAAGAGCCTTTGCATACTCGTTAATGAACAAGAATAAAGTATTTGATATTTATTAAACAACAGTTTTCTATTTTGTATATTTTTAACATTTTGTAAAGATTTGTTCTATGTAGAGCATATCTTAAATGTGTCATATTTTAAATGACTGAGTTATATATTAAATTATTAAATGTATTTCTCTTTACTTTTATTTACTAAAAAATAAAGTGTATTTTATAATAAACTGTATATATTTTAAAGAAGTTCTTACAAATCGGGGATAATAGCAACAAATCTGGTAGGTGTAGGTTAATTGTAAATAACAAAACGTATATTGTAATATGTACTTATTCTTATAAATCATGTAATATTACTTGTTTTAGTTATGTATCTGAAAATATGATTACATGTAAAATAATAATTGCTTTTTTATAAATTTTTATACTTTTTAAAAATAAATATATCTTAATGTATATTCGTTATTTTTTTGTTACACCCAATCAAAATTAAAGTAGATATACCACATTGGATCGAGGCAGTCTTGGTCGGTATATTGCATGAACTTTGGAAAATACTAGCTTTTCTTGGTTTGTTCAGAACGTGTTATTGTACTGACCGAATTGAGTGTACTCTTCGTACATACGTACCTTGGCGGACATGTATAAAATTTATTTTATCAAAATATATGTATGCATAATTCAAAAATACATGATTCGCCCTTTCTTTCAAAAATATTGAAAGAAACTTTTTTAATCTGTAACATTTCTTCTGCTATTTTTTAAAATATGCAATAATTGTTCATATAACAAACTAATTCTAATTTACTTTTAAATTTTAGAAAACACAATTCTAGAACACCTATTATGATTTTTTTATATCCAAAATAAACTAACACATTTATTTATAATATTTGCAGAGTATAAGAAGGGGTATATAGTAAACGCCACGAATGTTTGGGAGTGATTCATCGCTTGATGAAGTTAGAATCGACACGCGCGCTATCATTTTTACATTAAAAACGTAAATTTTTACCGCAGACGTAGGTTTTTAACGGCCCGGTCTAATCATCTGCCTGCGCTCCTCCTACTTATTCTAAAATGTTAGCGAGATTGACAAAGAGATACTATATTGCGTTTCTTTGATTGATTCGTTTTTGTGCGTCAGTCCATTGGTGTGCTTGCAGTGCGACCAATGGGGCATTCCATTTTATATTTATAACCAAATATATGTTTTGACAAGACTTTGACAGTTAAAACAACAAATTACAATAGATTATATATTGATTATTATATGACTTGAAATACCACGGCACTGGAATAAAGTTTTATGTGACCTTGAACCGATTAGTTCACATGGTAGCGACCGATAAATCACTCCCAAACATTCGTGGCGTTTACTATATGTCTTTTTATAAGTAAGCCTCTCTCTCTAGTGATTTTTTAATACACTACATCAAATAGCACAAGAGGCAAAATAAATTGATTTAAAGAAAACTATAAATTATGTAAAATTACTTGCAATATTAATCCTAGAGTAAGTAAAAGATGGCGCACGAAGTATAAAAGAATTACAGTGACTATATAAAAGAATAAAAATATTGAATCAGTAAAATAGTTTAAATAGCATTGAGCAAAAACAATTTATATTATAAGCCAAAAAATGTATAGAATATAAAATTGACATAATTATAGAATAATAAATTAAATATTATTAGAAATAAAATAATTCATACGGTAGAAAGCTGTATATTCTGTTGGTATTTATAGTATTATTAAATCTAGTAACAGCTAGATGGCGCAAGAGGTATTGACCATTTAACAAATTGGTATGTAATATGACTTCTCTAATAGAAAGAATGGAATATAACTTGGTAATATTTGAGGAGTAGTTTCATCTCGTTGGAATTTGACTTTCGAAAAATCCGTTTACCAAAAATAAGCTTTTTACGTCAAGCAGTTTAAGCAGAATCGTGGTTAACAACACCCTGTATGATTTTTTAAAAAAATTCAAAATATGTAAAAAACCAAATAAATTATGCTTGCCCAAGCGTTCTCCCGAAAGACGTTTTTTAAATAACAAATATTGTAATATTTGAGGGGCGTTTTCACCCTCTTGGAATTTAAGATTCGAGAAACCCCTCCTTATCGAACCTCTACACCCCACAGTCAATCCGTTTGCCCAAAATCAGCTTTAAACTTCAAGCAGTTTAAGCAGAATCGTTATTACTCAATGGTCATATTTTATGAAACACCCTGTATAAATTTATAAAAAATCTTAAAATAATCGTGTTTAAGAGTTTCTCCGAAAAACTCACCGGTTTTAAAAAAAAATATTCTAATATTTGAGGGATAGTTTCACCCTCGGTTTCACCCCCTTAGAATTCGAGTAGAAAAATCCCTTCTTATCGAACCTCTACACCTTAAAGTCAATCTGTTATCCAAAAATCAGCTTTTTACGTCAAGCGCTTTAAGCAGGATCGTGATTAATTAATGACCAGATTTTTCGAAACACCCTGTATACATTTTTAAAAAATCTTTAAATATGTAAAAAAACAAAATAAAATATACGTGTTTAAGCGTTTTTTTCGGAAACTTGACCGTTTTTTAAATAAAAAATATGTAATATTTGAGGGGTGGTTTCACCCTCTTCGAACTGGAATTTCGAAAAATCCCTTCTTATCGAACCTCTACACCCTAGAATTAACCCGTATGCCAAAATTGAGCTTCTTACGTTGAGGGGTTTGAGCAGGATCGTGATTAATCAGTATGTCAGTCACTTAAGGATTTTATATATTAGCCTTTATTAGTATACTGTACAGTACGTCTGTCCGTTCTGTAGCTACGGGGTATCCGTGAAAGGGGAAACGATATTCTCTCCATGTTTTTCGTAAAAATTTAGACGACGCGTCCCATTAATAAAAATTCGACAAATTTGCAAGTAGCCAATAAAATGAGTGGGCAAATATATTGTTGTTTATTTAATTGTTTTTTGTCCGCAATACGTCGAATTGACGAGTACGTCACCTCAAAATCGCTCCGTCCACTCATTTTATTGGCCACTTGCAAATTGGTCGATTTTTTATTGATGGGACGCGTCGTCTAATTTTTTACGAAAAACATGGAGAGAATATCGTTTCCCCTCTCACGGATACCCCGTAGCTACAGAACGGACAGACGTACTGTACCTATTTAAAAAATCAGAAGCATTGAAGTAGGACTATTCGGCTATATTCCGTATGGAAATTAGTATCTCTTCAACGCTTAAAATATCTAGCTTTGGAATATGTACAAAAATCTTGCCAATATTTTCCACTGCTAAAAAAAAACATTGATTTAAATAGATTCTTAAAGGAATTAGTATTTACCCTATAACACCCATCCTCGCTCAAATATCGTCTATAAAATACAAATTACTTTCTAGTTCTAGCATCCTCATCCAACTGCTTGGTTTTGCACACAATGGCCCTATTTGATCGGTGGAAAGGGTTTCAGTGTAGGGGAAAAATATTGTATAGGAAAAACAAAATGGGGTTGCAACACCCTCTCCTCCAATAATTAATATTACTAGCAAAAAAGCAAAAAAAAAATAAAACATAATTTTGTCCAACTTTTAGTTCATAATACCCCGTGTGCGTTGGGTATGCAAAAAAATAAAGACAATGGAAGTCCGAAATTCTTTTAATTTCAACATTTATACGATGTTAAAACATTTAAAAAATAATTTTTTGTAATTATTTTAAATACCATTATTTTTTTGAATTTGTTATAATATTGCTGTAACATTAGTGTTATTTTTAATTATTCAGTTTAATAGGAGTAAGATTAGATAACTTTTTTTTATTTCAATTGTATTAATTGTGATTCATAAACTCGCGTTTATCTCTAAAACTACAGACTTTAATTTCTTTCTTAAAGTTTTTACTTACACTTTTTCTCCGGCTTTCTTCCAACTTGAGACTTTTTTCGATGTGATGTCGGAGCGAAAATTACATATCTACCAAATGTGACATCAATTTGGGGCGGCCGGCAGTGAAACGTGGGAAATGACTCAAAAACGAGATTGGTTGACGTTGGAAAAGCCGACCAACGCTGGACAGTGTCGATGCCTGTTCAGAGTAATAAAAAATATAGTCAACAAATTGAAACTTCTTAATTTTTTAGAAAAAGAGACATAACCAAAATCATCAAGATAAAAAGGTTAAATATGTAAATATAGTAAACGGAAATGAAACTGATAGTGCTATACAGGGTGTCTCAGATTTTAATCGGGAAAATTTAACAGACGATAGAACTTGCAAAAATAAAACAAAAAATTCATATCAACTTGTAAGATTTAAAGCTTCCTTTTCGAGATACAGGGTGTTAAAGTTACTTAAAAAAAAAAAAAAATTAAGATATTTGAAAAACTCTTTAAACGATTTTGAAATAACTTGACCTGTTTATAATACTTACTATGGGACTTAATTTGATGTAATTAGATTTAAGTTTAATGGCCAGGGGCGGCGGTGGGGCATCACTGTTAAATTATTTTAAAGGAAAAAATAGGCACGCCACTGCTTTTTTAGAAGTATAATATTATTTTTGGATTTAGTAATTAAAAATATTATTTTTTGTCTCTTGACTTTTTTGTCTATCTTGCTTACTTCTTGCGAAAAAAATTAAATTCTAATTGGTAATTAATATTATAATTGGTATTCTAATGGTGCCCTGTATCTCAAAAAGGAAGCTTTAAATCTTACAAGTTGATATAAACTTTTTGCTTTATTTTTGCAAGTTCTATCGTCTATTAAATTTTCCCGATTAAAATCTGAGACACCCTGTATATCCAAACATATAAAAACAGTGTGCATTAAATTGAAGGATTTGAAAGAAATGTTTGAAAAAGTGACTATTGACTGCTTTATTATAAATATTATTCTCAATTTATTTCTGTACATTTTCTGTTTCCTCAATAGCTTGCAAAATTTGTGGAATACCACCCAAAATACACACTTTTATGCAAATTCCCACAGACAATGACTAAAGAAT